GTCATCGTCTCGAATTGGTCTCGACTTGGTCTCTGTCTTGGTCTCGGTCTCGTCTTGGTCTCGGTCTTGGTCTCGACTTGGTCTGTTTTGGTCTTGGTCTGGTCTTGGTCTCGACTTGGTCTGTTTTGGTCTTGGTCTAGTCTTGGTCTCGATACCCTCTGGTCTTGGTTGTGTCTTGGTCTTGGTTTAGGCGGTCTTGACTACAAGTCTAGAACTTACACATGGTTTGTGTGCAACATTGTACTTGGTACGTTTTTCATCTTCAAAACAAGAACTTGGGTCTCCAGCCGATAAAGTTCGAGCTTCTGTCTTCCCACACTGTTCACGCATCAGGTTAGTATACGCAGAGAAGACGGTCTTTTGCGGCTGTTGAACGCATTCAACCACATGAGCGTTTACACTACACAAGCAACCTATGGAAGTGGTGGAAAGTGGACAAGCTCAAAGCGATTCAGACCCCACTTACACTTGTATTTATTAGTCGCGTCCACTTGTAATCCAAAAATGCATGTCAATACCAGCTGTAAACAGGGCCTAAAAGTTGTACTTAGTCATGAACTGCTCCGAGACACAAAAGTTGAGATCCAAATGCAGCTTTAATAGGAAAAATCCAGACACATAATCCAATAAGCAGGCAAAAGGTCAAAACACTGGTAGGCAATCCAAAGAAAGAAAGAAACACACATACAAACCAGGCAGGGGTCAGAGGCAAAAGAGTAACAGGCAAGAAATCCAAAAACCAAGAGACATGGAACCAGGAGAATGCAGTGCAACAACATACAAAACTTTGCAGTGTTATACACTTTCAAAGAAAGTTCAAAGAAAAAAAAAAAACACAAACGCACCTACTTTTTGATTTTTTTTTTACGTTTCTTTTGATATTTTAAACACATACAATATTTTTTTTCTTACATTTGACACTTGATTTTGTTTGTTTAAACGGTTTCCTATAAAACGATACCAATTATTTGCATTTACTTCACTGTATGTGGGTATGGGGAGCCATCACATTTGGGTATGTCCAATTTCATACGGAATTCCAAAATAAACCAAAGTGCTTTAGAGGTTAAAACTGCAGTGAACCAAAGACAGTCTCAAACACACGGTGTGAAATCGCTGGTGTTTCTGACGTCACAAACGACCTTACGTGTGATCGTCAACCAGTGGAGTGAGTGGAGGTGGGGCTCATTTACATATTCATAGACTGCGTATACTAAATGAGGCAAGGGTGTCGAATTACATTCAAGATATTTTAAGGCATGAAGACATTTTTTTAAGATTTTAAAATATGTCAAAAATGAGTTTTAAGGGATAGAATTATTGACTACTACAGGTCGACTTTAATCCTCACTGTAGAGGAAGCGCCTGTTTTAAGTGTCTCGATCAGTGCATTGGATGTGGATGGCTTCAAATCAGAGGCTATTTCTAGCAGTCTAAAAACAGTGAATGAATCCATCTGCGGATACAGTGTGGGTAAGAGCGAGCTAATCTGAGGTGAGTAGGTGTCCGAGTCAGAAGAAGGATACTCAGGAACAAACACTTGTGTGAATATCTCACATTTCACATTCATTGCTTTTCTGATGGGATATCAGAATGTGCCATCGGGGCAGCACATAAGTGCATGATTTATATATAAAATTCATGAACCTGATATTATGGCTGCTAAAATCAACATTTAGAAGTGCAAACAAACCAAAGGCACATCCATTTATTATAGGTCATAAAAGCGGTCCATATTTAAATGTTGATAAGAGGAAATAATTTTCAAATAAAAACATACATTAAGCCACATAAAAATACTAAACTCAAATGCTTGGCCAACACATCGTAATGGTGTTGAATGTGCTTTCTTATTTTTCTGTGCTCTTGAGAACCATCTGTGTGTTGTTAAACCGAATAGGCTAATATTCTGACTTTTAATAAAGGAAGCTAGCTATAAAATTGTCAAAAGAATACCTTATTTTCTCTTGCACGATTGTGACAGTATTGACTGGAAGATAATTAAATGTCCATATAAAATATTTTTCAGTGAATTGTTGCAATTCTTAACATGCAAAATGTACTGTTGCATGTTGCATTTCTAGTCACAAACTGTTATTTTCGGAATAAAGAACACAAAACCTTTTGTAGTATTTTTGCTCATGTATGTCTTGTGCCTTACGATGAACTAGCTGTCCCACACAACATATCTATTTTTTTTTATCACTAACCTAAACTAAAGCCAAGAAAGAAATAACGTGATGGACATTACAAGATATTAAAGGGTTAGTTCACCCAAAAACGAAACCCACTCTCCTCGTGTCGTCCCAAGGCCGTCAGACCTCCGTTCATCTTCAGCAAAGATATTTTAGATTTAGCCCGAGAGCTTTCTGTCCCTCCATTGTAAATGTGTGTACTGTCCTTGTCCAGAAAGGAAATAAAGACATCATCAAAGTAGTCATGTGACATTAGTGGGTTAGTTACAATGTTTTGAAGCATCGAAAATACATTTTGGTCCAAAAATAACAAAAAGACAATACCATGCTGAATAAAGTCGTAGTTTTTGTTATTTATGGACCAAAATGTATTTTCGATGCATCAAAACATTGTAACTAACCCACTGATGTGAAACCCTCCCATTGAAATGTGTTTCTTTGTACAATCACTAACCAACGTTTAGCCATTCTTTGAGATATTTTTTTCTTGCACTTTCATTTGTTATGTAGCAAGTGTTGACCCGTTCCTTATTAGCGAGGCTCTGAAAAACAGGCCGATTGCACATTGAATCTGAAAGGAGACAGAAAATAAAGAGTGAAGTGTGAAGTAAAAAGCAGCTGAAGTGACATTAACCATCACCAATTAAAAACGAGGATGGACATAAAATTATGCGTGAACTTGATCACATTTTAACATGTATTTTACAAGCACTGATGGAATCTTTGCTATAAAACGTCGCTGAGAAGTTGGTTGTATTTTGTGGCGAAACAGGAAGGAGACAGGCAGTCTTGCCTAAAATATTCATGAGGTTTTGTGAAGTGGGAACAAAGCTGTGCTGTTGCCTGCAGGTTTAAATCTCAGATCTGCTGGGCTTTTAGATCATTGTCTCCACGCAGTAGTTCCTGTACTTTCTTCTCTCACTAATCGGGAACATGAAGAAATGGACAGGGATGTGCAGCCTCCTGCATCTGTTCTGTGGCCCTTAGCAAACAACATTGATTCAAAACTGTATATATAATTCCCTGTCTTTCCATTGGTTTGCATGGTCTTATTTTGTGTTGAGGTCTTTGTTTTGTTGCCCTTCGAGTATTTAATTGTTGGTTCTTGTCTTGATGTTGTGTTACCGTTACGTGTTGCATTTCAATTTGTGTGGATGCATCTTCTGGTTTCTGTAATTAAGCCAGATTTTTTTGTTACTTTAAATAAAGTCATAACATATATCCATACTTCTATCCCAAATAATTACTGTAAAAATACAGTAGTTCATGTTGTTATTGTTACATGTAGTAATAACTATAAATTGTGCATAATGACATAATCCTAACCCTAACCTTATAGTAAGTAGGCCTACATAGTTAATTATTATTACTCAGTACTTATACGAACAACTTAAAATAAAGTATTACCAAATTAGCCTAGTGCACTGTAAAATACAGTGTTACCCATTAAGCAACTAAACATTAAAGCAAACCCTAACACAATAGTAAGTTTATGTTAGCAACTAATATTACTCAGTATTTAATTGTATATTAACCCAAATATTAACCCGGACCGATCTACCGAGCAATACAGAATATTGTGCAGTGCCTGGTTGTGGAAGAAGACAGTCGCTGCATAAGCTTCCTCTCCAATAGGACTGCATGGATAAACTTTATTTTTAATGACGTTCCAGCTGATGAGGTAAAACATCGTCCGTCTGTTCGCTTCATTTCACTGAGGATTGTTTTATAAACAAGACTGGATTTGCAGACCGATTAAGAGTAAAGAACGGTGCTGTGCCGTATATTTTGGATCTGACAGGAATAGTGAAACACTCATGCTGCATTCATGTGCTTTGGTAATTATGGTAAATACCAAAAGCTGACGTGGAAAATGCACATGAACACCCCGTCATGTGGTATTTTCCACTGGGCAACTCGTAGAATATTTTGATGGATGAGTTGCCGAGATGAGATAACCTTTGACCATTTCAAAATGGCGGAGAACACCGCGAGAGTCGTGAATGGTAAAAAAAATATATACTATTCATGATCTAGAAAATATACAGCATTTTATTTTATTTATTTATTTATTTATACAGATGACTTAAGCAATCTAAAATAGTTTTAGCTAAATAACAGGTCTGGATCTCCATCTTTTTACCACATTACGACAACAAAAGCACTTGAATGCAACACACTGGCAAATACCAGTTCACAAATGGAAAATATCCTATTTCCCATAGCACGTGAACGCAGCATCAGACTCTGGGTCGGCCATGTATGGGCGAATCATTCCGGTCGCCATTTTACAACATTGGCCGTTTTCAAAACAATTTCCCCCAAGTGCATCGACAGGTGAGTTGAAACTCATTATAATATGCAAAACTGTCATCCACTCACAGCAGTGGGCGTTTACTTCATCTAAGTCTTCAGTGTGATATGCCAATAAAAACCCAGCGTTTTTCAGGTAGGCTAAAAACGTGGGTACAAAATAGCCTATTACTTATTCATTTTGATGTTTTTGAATGCAAAAAACAAGCGAACGTCATAAGTTGACCTCAGACAACAATATAGTAATAAAATAATAAATACAAAGCAGTGAAATGATTGTGCAGATAAAAGTGTATTAAACTAAAAACTCATTTCAGACGTAGCCTAACGCAAATTTCAAGACGAGAGAGAGAGAGAGAGAGAGAGAGAGAGAGAGAGAGAGAGAGAGAGAGAGAGAGAGAGAGATTGATCCTCCCTCCTCCTCCTCATCATCATCACCTGGCTCGAATGTTTATCTTCTTCGGTCCTCCTTCACTCAGCGCACTACAGGATTTAGACTACAGCAGCTTCTCAAGAAACTGAACTCGATACTGTACTGTACTGTACACACACACACACACACACACTGCAACTGAAGAGCAACAAGGCATTTCAGTTCAGCAGCAGCGGGTGTTTTCCACATGAACACTAAACGGCAGACGGCAGGTGCCGGACGCCAAAGTGTGTCGCGTGTTTAGGACAATTGTGGACTACCGGCGACTCCTCTGGTTTCTCCCTTTGGTTAGTTTCAGTCATAAATCGGTTGTGTGAAGAATATGAAGATGTCTCCCCCAGACCGGAGGAAATACGCGCGCGAGCTGGCGCTGGAGATCGCCGTCAGACTCCTGCTCTTCGGAGTTTTCGTGTAAGTACACACACTATATACACCTGCATTTGGCTCAATATGTTAAAGATAGTGGAAAACATGACGCTTTGGCTTACACACGACTTAACTAACTAAGACAAGCTTTCAATATTTGGAAATAGCTACACATTAAAAATGTAAACAGCAGCACATCACGGGGTGTTTCATCAATATCATCCTTTCCCAGGTTTAAAGTTTTGATAGGTTATCAAATGTAGCTATTTTAAATATACCATAGGCTACTATATGCCTATAATATTGTTCTTATAAATAACTCACACACAGTTATAGCCTATCTTAATATTTTGGCTGTTCATCATAATATGAATATGTATCTTAACCATGAATGGGATAAGTGTGAAGTTACAATTATTCATAAAAATAAATATGAGAGATTACAATTGATAAGATATATAATGCATTATAATGACTGTAGCCTTCAAGTGTAACCAGGGAGATTGAGGTTTCTGGAAATGCATGCATGGTGCAAAGAAAGGAAGAGGAGAAATGCTGTCTATGGAGACTATCTCACCCTCAGTGCAAACAGGTTGCTTGAGTACAAGTTAATTCAAGGATTTCTGATAGGAAATGTACAAACAACACACTTTTTGAATGAATTTATAAGCCAGTGTAATTATAAGAACTGAGCTGATGTGCTAATGAGATGACTTGATAATATGAGAATAATAATGGAATGAGACTGTCCGTGGTTTGGCTAGATGTCCTAGTCTCCCGCCATGCTAAATCATTCCCAGTTTCTAGAAAACTGCACTGCCAGCGCACAGAAATATGATCATGCTTATGATTTGATTGAAATCGCTGCAGATTTCCAAATGTTCAGATGAGCTTAAGCAGTGTGTGCCTTGCTGAAATTGATTGTGATGTTGAAATTTGAAGTGTGTGCTTGTGTCTATCGTGTGGGAATAAATGTGATGTTTTAGACCTGAGGAAAGCTGGCCTTATACAGTTAGGACTAGCTGGAAACGGTCTTGAACGAGGAAACGTTACACTGACATATCACACATATCATTGAATCTCATTGAATGACAGCAGAAAAAAAAGCAAACGTTTCAGGGTTGAATGAAGGCTGACTGATGTTGATGATGATTGTACAGTAAGCACTGCTATACTATAACTATACGCATGACTCATCCTGCAACATTTATGCTACGGGCATTATAACAACAACAACACCATATTAGCCTATGTTAAAGGAGAAACCCAAGCCATCTCACTAGAAAATCATTTGACTCTCTTGTTTGTGGCAAGTGACACATCAAGGTGAATTAAATTGACCTTTAGTTGACCGTCTTCATCATATATCCAAAATAGTGACACTTGATTATTTCATAACTGCCAGGTGTTGTCTGTTGCAACAAGAATCCATTGAAACCCATAGCTAGCAAAGCTGGCCTTCGAGCACAACATCTGGTGCCTGTCAGCGATGAGTTCGCTGAGATATCAGCTGTCAGGAGGCGACGTGCCTTCTGAATGCTGATCACAAGATATCATGTTCATAGTCAAGCTCAGTTGCGTGAAAACAAAAACCTTTTTTTGACAAAAAAAAAAAAAAAGAGCAAGCAGGCATACATATTCAAGCATATATTTATTTAAAGGGATAGTTTATAAAAAAAATAAAAAAATTAAATGGACATATAAAAAATTAAATAAAATGGAAAATTCAGTCTTCATTTGCACACCCTCCCCAAAACCTGTTTTATTCTGTGGAACAGAATGGAAAATTCCTCTTCATTTTTCTTTCTTTCTTTCCATTGAATCCTGGGATTCAATGTTGTTTTGGACAATTTTATCAAAATGGACATAACAGTTTTGGGTGAACAGTTAATTGAGGTTTGCAAAATTTAAAAAGTGTTGACATGAAATTGTGACCCTAAAGAGCCATTTTACCTGATTTAACCCAGAAAAGTTGGGCAGCGACTATTTATACCAAGTGAAAATACAATATTTTATTGGTTATAGCTGCTACACCACATTTAAATAGCAATAGGTTATATTTACACTGTTATGTTGCTATTTATACGTATAAAAAGTGTTGTTGTAAATTAAACAGAATGCAATAATAACATATTGTAAATTATTATATTTATTGAAATTAATTCATGGATGCCGCCTTATTAAGACAATAAAACTCTCCCTACACATACCCCTAACCCTATTGAATAAAAAATAAAATTGGTTATTGCAAGTTTTATCTCACTATTCTGACTTTTTCTCTCTCTCAATTGGTAGTTCTAAAGTCACAATTGCAGGAAATAAAGTTTCATAAAGTTAAATGAAATAAAAAGACATAGATATAAACTTATAATGGCAAGTTATAAAGTTAGAATTGAGAATTCACACTATATATTTCACAATTCTGACTTTATAGCTCGCAATTGTGAGAAAAAAAGTCAAAATTGTGAGATAAAAAGTCGCAATTATCTTTTAAAATGTTTTATTCCGTGGGAGAAACAAGCTTCCGTATACCGATAAACAATTTATTTCCACATTTTTTTATTTTATTTTTTTAAATATTTGCCTTTCCGATCCAATATGTTATGGGAAAAGGGAGTAGAGCAAGTTCGGGAAAAGGCTGATTCGAACATGGGTCGACTTGCATCCAAACCTCGTAGAAGGTGGGGTATTTGCACCTTGTGTGAATAGACACTCCGTAAAAACTGACCTAAATTAATATATTTAGGTAGCCTGGATGCCAGCCGAAATGATGCGTTTACATGCTATGGTAATAAATACCAAAAGCCGACATTGGGAAACTCGTAGAATATTTTGATGGACGTGTTGCCGAGATGAGATTTGACCTTTGAACCTTTGACCTTTTCAAAATGGCGGAGAGCAACGCGAGAGTCATGAATGGTAAAAATATGTACTATTCATGATCTACAAAATATACAGCATATTATTTACTGTGTTGATAAATCATTTTCTTGCTGTAGCAGATGACTTAAGCAATCTAAAATAGTTTTAGCTAAATAACAGGTCTGTCTCTCCATCTTTTTACCACATTATGACAACAAAAGCACTTACACTGGTAAATACCAATTCACAAGTGCAAAATATCATATTTTCCATAGCACGTGAACGCACCATTAGCCCCGCCCACAACATTTGAGCATGGGAAGTTCGGTCTGGAGTCTGGACTTGATCAGTTGTGAAGCAAGCATGCCGAAAGCTGTTGGGACCAATCAAATTGTCAGTGCGGGCTTTATACGATGATGGACAGATGATGGACCGTAACGTACAGTAATCATCCGTGTCACCAAAGAGCGTTTGGGTTGAATTAGTTTACAACAAAGAATGGCTGCCGCTGGAGAATCTCAATTCTCATACTAAAACATCCATCCATCCATCCATCCACCCATCCACCCATCCATCCATCCATCCATCCACCCATCCACCCATCCATCCACCCATCCATCCATCCATCCATCCACCCACCCATCCACCCATCCATCCATCCATCCATCCATCCATCCATCCATCCACCCATCCATCCATCCATCCATCCATCCACCCATCCATCCATCCATCCATCCATCCATCCATCCATCCATCCATCCACCCATCCACCCATCCACCATCCATCCACCCATCCATCCACCCATCCATCCATCCATCCATCCATCCACCCATCCACCCATCCATCCATCCATCCATCCACCCATCCATCCATCCATCCATCCACCCATCCATCCATCCACCCATCCATCCATCCATCCATCCATCCATCCATCCATCCATCCACCCATCCACCCATCCACCCATCCATCCACCCATCCATCCATCCATCCATCCATCCACCCATCCATCCACCCATCCATCCATCCATCCATCCATCCATCCATCCATCCATCCATCCATCCATCCATCCAATAAAGTCTGATGGGGAGCATATCCTAGCATATCGGCAGGGCCAGGGAAACACCCTGGACAGATGTAGACTTTGGCTCTGTTTACACCTGGTATTAAGATGCGTTTCGATCCCATCACAAGTGAACGACACTAAAAACAGGTGTAGATGGGGTCTAAATAGTTTTGAGCTTGTCCACTTTAAACCACTTCCAGAGGTAGTCGACATCGCATTCAACCGGATTGCTTTCGTAGTGTAGAATGTGTTCGAACAGCCACAAAAGATATACTGACCTAACGCATGAACGTCAACATTTTCATTTAAGATTTCTTCGGGAGTGTTCTTGTATAAATGGCATGAGCTCATTTCGTCCATTAGTCCAGGTGAAAGTTATAAATATTTCCCTGTTGCTATGATACATTTCAGGGTATTATTTAGTGTTTTATTTAGTGAAAACTATGACTAATTTATTTGCTTCAAACAACTATTGCAATTTTGCTTTAGTGGTTCTTTCTAAGTTGGCACAGTGCTCCGCAGGTGCATGGTCTTGTGAATGATTGTGCCAATTTTGCAGCGTAATATCTGATCAATAGAGTTTGATACAAAGAAAAAGTGTATCCTAAATAAGATTTATGACATGAATGGTATGTGTATTCTATTTACTTTGGGCTTTGACCACCATATATCAACAAGACAAGGGTCCTGTAATAACATGTGAATAACATCCACATTCCCTGGCACTGATGAACACTATCATAACTTGACTAAAATGCCCTGCTTAAATGATTTGTCTCTCCCTATTGCTGGAAATCATGTTTACTTCAATAATAATGTAATGTGAGTTAGTTGGGTGTATGGCAGATATAAATTATCTTATGAAAAGATGAACCTTATTATGCATCATGATAAAAAAAAATTGATAACCTAAAACTGATCACATCTAAATTAACAAAAAAAAAAGTATTTAATATTGCAAAATCAACCTAAATACTTTGATTTCTACAAACAAAATATATTTTGTATGGGTTAAGGTAAGGTAACAATTGCAGGTTACCACTGTATAATACAAATCAGAAAATTTTGTACTGACAATATACTGATGGCAAGGACAAGGTCTCTGGAAAGATATTTA